TTTTTGTTGTTATTGCCTATGTTCAGCAGCAACTCGGCCACGGCTCATGGGATCTCTACAAAACAAAAAATAAAGAACAGCAGGTCAACAGTGTAATCGCGTGTTTGGACGCAATTTGGGTTTAGGTCAGACGATAAGGTTCGAGAGCATGTCGAAAGAAGCACAAACATATGTACATACATATGTACATACGTACATTTGCACACGCTAGCGTAAGGATACATCTGTATATGTATGTTGCAAAACAATAAGTGAACCTATGCACGCGTGTTTGGTGAAATGAAAATAGAATCAACAAAACGTACATGCTTGCCTACATTCCATTCCTGAAATGAAAAACACTATTCTGGTGCAGCGGTGAAAGCTAAAAAATATTTTAGAATTGTACTATTAGGGTTGTTGGCATTTGTTTGGTGCCTTTTTCGATTGACCATGTAAAGTGCCTTCAAGGTCACAAAGCAATTTTCTTTGGTGCAACTGTAGAAGTAATATTGAGCATTTAGGATATTTTTTATTATAACTGAGGATCTGAAATGTCAGAGATATTCTACGTAAGCTAGTTATTTAGGTATACCAAATCCTACTAGCTATCTGTTTTCGGACAAAAGTAGTATACAAATTCAAACAATTAAACAACCGTAAACAGATTTGAAAAAAAAGTAGTTAAAGTAGTTTCGCAGTATCAATTTTATTCAATGAAAATCAACAAAAAAAGAACAAACTGATCATCTTTTGAATCGACTTCGCCTTTCATTTCAAAATATCTCTATTTGCCGCTGTTGTTTTGTTTTGGCCCTTTAAGCAATTTGGCGCATGATGCCAAAAATAAGTTAGTTCCATTGCCACTTATTCGTCGCCATAATAACTACCTGACAATTAAGCAGTTTGTGACATCGTTCAAACTTTACGACATACGACACTTAAATATATGGCACCTAAATATATGTATATTAAATTCACACCGAAATGTGTATATAACAAACGAGCATCTTCGTTATAGAAATCTGTAATAGTCCTGAGGTTTAGCCGTGGGTAACACAGTGCGATGCCGCGCCATTGCGCTGATACCGAGAGCTGAGTTACTGGCGCCGATACCGATTTTCACAACTCTGTGACGCAATGGCGCCAGCAACACCGGAACACTAACAACACCGGGCGGCGCAAAGAACCAGCAAAGAACACACAAAAGCGAAGTGTCACTTGTAAAATGTGCAGCACAAGGCGAATTTTTACAAGGTATTGTTGCTAAAATTAGCCGCGGTCCTTCTGAATGTGAAAATTATGTCCTTGTTGTATTTTTGGGTTTTGAACTTGGCTTGTTTTTGCCCAACCGATACCACCTTGTATTAATTCACCTTAGTTCAACACCGGAACACTGACAACGACGGGTGTCGCAAAGAACACCCGAAACAGAAATGTCTCTTGTAAAATGTGCAGCACAGCTAGAATTCGTCGCGGTCCTTCTGAATGTGCAAATGATGGGTTTGTTGTATTTTTGGGTTGTGAACTTGGGTATACTTGAGTTTTTTCTCAACCGATATCACCTTGTATTAATTCACTTTGGTGAAGCGTGCAGCAATAAAGGAAATGAGCTTTAGCCTGAAGAGGCGCAATTGCGCCAACACACTGTGCTGATTCCGACAGTGGCGCTGGAGTTGGTGTGTCAGCGCCAAAAAATTTGCGCGGTTACCCAGGCCTACTGAGGTTCAATTCCCGTTCTGCGCTATCGTGAAATGAAATGAAAGGTTAAAGAAAAGGCACTTATTGCGATGTGAAAGTGTTATTTTTATCACTTCACAATAACGCAGAACGTGACCCTCTGACTAGCTAAGTTGTGAAATAATCAAATGACATTGACAACGAAGGAAGACGCGCTAAAAAAATATTTGACGGCGCGGTTAACTATGTTTGCGAGTGTAACAGTATGTAAATTCCCTAAAGAGGTTTTGGGGAATGATGTTGGAGTGACAGACCTTCGCCAGGTATAAATCTAGTTTTTCTTAAGCGGCTTTTTCTGTAAAATATTTTTTTATGTTCCTTTTTTTCGCCAACAAACTAAACTAGCGCGCTTTTATTCGTGTTTAGTGACGATATATCGCATACCTTGACCTACTAAAGTGAGCTAACTCAAAATTCAGATAGGGAAATTTAACTGCTTGTGGATCGTACAGATTCAACGCAATTAATACAAAAACAGGTATAACGGTAGTTTTCTAGTTAATGTATTAATCATGATGAAAAAATATTTCCATTGGATGTAAGTCCTATGAATTGATTTATGCAAAAAAATCGCCCAACATTTTTTTTTTTTTTTTTTTGAGTTGATCGCACTTTAGATTTAGGTGTGCGATATGTTCACTAAAATTTTACTAATCTAAAAATAGTCTTTGCGAAGTGGTTATCATATGTATTTAATGTAAAAAATTTAAACATTTTTAAGATAAGATTTTAATTTAAAAGGTAAATGTTAATAAAACTATTTCATACATAATCCCAAATATATGAGCAATTGTAAAAAATCTGCTTTTCAATCAAAAAGTTGTTTATTGAAACTACCTTCTTTTTTGTTTCATGATTTGGCGAAGTAATTCCGGCTTAGTTATAAAGAATAATCTGAATTGTTTTCACTGCTAATCGAGTTTTGCTCGACGTCCAAATTTTGTTAACCATAGAATATGCAGGAATTAATTGGGAACGAAGGTTTCGCAAAACGATTGTAGAGGAAGCATGGAGCAAGGAATGAAAACTCGCTGTATATACCTAAACATTTTCACGGATGGCTCTGTAATGGTAACGGGAGTTGGTGCCGGAGTATACTGCCGGAAACTGAACGCCAAGGTTACCTGAACAGCGCAGCACATTTCAAGCGGAGGTTTTCGCTATGAGGATAGCCGCAGAAATGACAATCAACTCAAAGGTACATACAAAATATACCAAAAAAAAAAAATGGGCGACAAGGGAAAAGCGTGAATAACTTTCGTCTCGATGCAATGCAGGAAATTTTTTCTTTTTTTGCAAATAATTACTAACAGAACGTACAACAATATTAACCCAAAACGTGATTTTAAAGCCATTGAAATGGCAGTAATATTAAAAAGAAAATTAATAACTTTTATAAAAAAAAATTATGGCCATATAAAAAATAAAAAATAAAAATGGGAAGAAAACACCATCATTCTCAACTGTTTAAAATATGTTTAATACCTATCGCGAGAAAACAATTAAAATCTAAACAAATTCGAAAAATTTTAATAGCTATAACTTCCGAAATAATTCGAATCTCGCAAAATTGTGAAACTTGTATTTTTCTTTTATCGTTGTGAAGCATATACACATAATTGCACAAAAAAAGCTCGACCCTCGCAAAAATGGTGGCCCACTTCACAAATTTTTACTCAGTAGCTATGACCTACGGTTGATTTTTGGTAATTTAATTTAATTTTTTTGTTGTTGAAGGATACGCCCATTTTCTTTATATATAAAAATCGTCACGTATGTTCAATGGTAAGTCCTAGCACTTTATTATACTACAATTGAATGAGCTACAAAAGTGGATACTCCAAAATCTTTCTAAGAAATCTAATTAATTAATTAATTAATCAACTAAAGTTTCTTAAATTTTTTTTAATTTAATCCAAATACATATTTAAAACGGGTTTATTTTGAGAGGAACCATTAAACAAATTAATCGGTTATTTTGCTTAAATCAATCCGTAGGCTTTATTTCCAATTAATGCACCAATATATTCTCTAGCTAGAAAACTACTGATTTACCTGTTTTCATATTAACTGCGCTGAATTTGTACTATACAAAAGCAGTTAGATTTTCAGATTTGATTTTTGAGTTATGCCTCTTTTGAAGAGGATGTGCGATATGTATTACCTACCCGTAGTTTATTTTCATTAAGCAGAAGTTCAAACCAAAAGCCACCCAAAAATCAATAGCGGCGCTTAATCTCATTTGTACTTTTGTGCATACAAAACAGCTATCTTTTGCAACTTAACAACATTATTTCATAGGTGACCTGTTTTTAAAGTCTATTAACCTTTTTCACAGAATAACTGAATAGCAGACAACACAGAGTCAAGCTATTATTAAGGCCATCCACCGCAGCCATGAGACCATACAACAAAAAAGTTGAAAAGCAGGCAAACCATTCATTTCCAATTGAAAATAGGCCACAAGCGTTCTTTAATACACTCACGCACCTATGCATTTGCACATATATGTATACATACATATGTACATGTGTGCTATCGAAACCAAAATCACTTACCCTTCCAGACTTTCAAACACATTTAGTATTTACTGCTGCCGATGATGCTCATATAAACTCATTCACACTAACGAACGAACAATGCGGGAGTCGCCCCCACCCACCTAAAAATGTGCGACCGACACGTGCCATCAATTCACACACATTTCACTTCTGACTTTCTCAGCGCACAGCTGTAGTGTGCATTAAGGCGGCCAGCTTAAACGAAGATTAAGCCATTCCAACCATTCAAAATTGACGTTAATTAATGAAATGTGAAAAATCTTATTTTTAATCCTATGGCGGCCAACCCAGTCATTTATAGATAATTTCCACTAATTTCATTCGTCTATGCTTTCTATTACATATATGATGTACATATACATGTGTATAGGACTCACTCTTCATCCTCGTCGTCGTCCTTATCGCCGGCTGTGTTGTTGTTCTCATAAAAGACATCGTCCTCACGGGAATCCTCATCGGAGCTAAAATTCTTTGCATCCTCATCATCATTGTCATTGTCGTTATTGTTGTTATTGTTGTGGTTGGTGATGTCCTTGTTTGCGCGTCGCTTAGCCGCCTCCTCTTCCAAGTACTTGGCTTTCGTGATTATTTCATCACTACAGATCGGTGACGAAAGATAAAGCAGATAAAAATAATTAGTGCAACGACATCACAACAGTACAGGACAGCTTAGAGCCGTCCAGAGGAGGATAGAATGGTTGGCTAATGGTCACCAACAGCGGGCCGGGCGGTGTATTGGCAGAGTGTGTGTGGGAGATTAATGGTGTAGGGGACTTTTAGACATCTTCAGGATGGATAAAGGTGAGTTAAAAAGGAGTAATTCAACTTTTTATGCAAGAGCAGCCACTTGTGTGTGACTGAAGTGTAATATTGGATTGGCAAGGGGTTGTAAAAAGTTGGGCGTTCAAGTTGATTTTATAATAGTGAGTGAGGTGGCCAATTGGGTTATTAAAAGGATAGCTTGCCGGAGGGTTTGCGGTAAAGTAGGCAGATCTTTTTTAATTGAGTTGTGTGCACGGCTTTACAAATAAATTTATAAATATATGTGTATGTATATACATACATATGTACACATCCACATTAGACTGCATCACCAAAAATAGTGGCGGTTTTTCCGCCGGGACTACAAAATTTATTGTATTTTAAGACGTCCCACCAAAATATTTCGGAAAAATATTAAGATTTAAGCGAACTGGACCAATTTGAAAATACCTCCGAAAATGGAGTTTTTTTATGAATAAAAATAGTTTCATAAATAACTTTTTGTAAAAAGTTCGCTCAGAAGACAAAACAGATTAAAATAAAATAGATTTTATAATTTCAATAGAAAAACAGTACCGATTTTTATTTTTTTTTTTGTATTGGGAGTGATGCAGTCTAATCTAGATACATACATACGTATGCATCAATTAGGGTGATTGAGTCGGTTTTTCCAAACCGATTTCAAGCACTTTTTTTATTTCTAGGCTGTTTTTTGAAATTTTGATTTTTCGAATGCTGAGTAAATCGGATTTTTTCAATCGAATAAATCGGGTTTTCACCTAGTTTACTTATGTGTCAGAATCTAGTAATTCGAAATATTTTTCCACTGCAGAAAATTGCTAAAAAAATAAAAATAAAATCGAACGTCACTGTTTTTTTTTTTGTTTTTTTTTTTTGTTTTAGCAGCTTACTCAACTCTGTCTAAGTCCACTATATGCTTTCTTCATTCTCGTCTAAAGGCGGGCTCAGGAAAAGGTCTGATCGGACTCCTTCTGAAACCCCTTTCGTTCGGCCTAACTCCCTTAATTTAAAATGAATTAGATTTTTTAAACAGGTGGCAATCTCCTATGGTTAAGATAAGAAATAAAGCTTTTTAAAGCAAGTTCCGATTGATACCTATTTTGTAATAATTGATTTTTTTTATTTAATTTGAATTTTTTAAAAGGTGGCAACTCTTTTCAAAAAAGTAAACCTTATTATTGACACCTTTTATTTGACACCTCACTTTGGACAATCGACCGAACGGTGCAGTTATAATGGTACTGATTATTAAATGATTGGAATTTAATTGTTCAAAAGGTGGCAACTCTTCTTGAAAAAATAACGCTTTTATTTGAGATACCTTTATTGACAATCGAGCGAACAGTGCAGACCTTATGTCCTGGACAAACAATTTCTTCGCGTATTAAGACAAACTTATCGATATTTCTTGCTCAAAATAATAAATACCGAATGCTTAGCTTCAATTTTTTTGTTTTTATTTAAAAAATAATAATGCTAAGTACGGTATGAGTTAATTTTTCACATACAAAAACTAAAAGTAAAGCATTTTTTCAGCGATAGTTTAGAAAGAAAAATCGGTTCAAAAACCGATGGATTACAGAATTTTTCAATAAATTAAAATTAAGAATAAAATTGTGGTTGTACACACTTGGCTGGTAAACTGATTAAAAAAAAAAAATAACCGCATAAATTACGCATGTACATATATCCATGTAAGTAAATGCGATTTTACCGTTACACCTTCTGTATTTGTTCTTTGTAATTTTGTGTATTTATTTTTTACTTAATTTTTGTACTAAATAAACTCACCGATTCTTGTGTAAGTCACGCTTCGAAACGCACACTGCGCTGTACTCATCCTCCAACAGGCAAATTTCACGTTTTTTGCAATTTAACGGCCGACAAAGGTCACCTGGCGGTAAATAAGAGTTACAGAAAAAGTAATTAATAAGTAAATAATAGTCTCAGGGATTAAGCAATTATGTTTTAATTACATTTAAGCACACTTAGGCTAAATGCATAGAAGCACATCGCATACGCCTAGACATTCTCGTACATGCAAATACATTCATACAAACAAAGTAAGTTGCATCCAAATGGAGTTTAATCAACGAAACGAGCATTTTTTATTGCAGTCTGTCTTCTCTTCTCGACAATTACAAATTTTTTTAGCTTACCTTTTACGTGACTCACTACAAATAACTTTAGTAATTTAATTTTTTTGTCTCAAACAAATGAATCCTTTTTTTCAACGCTGCCAAGCGCCTTTAACGGTGCGCTCTTTTTTTTATGTACCGTGCGTATGTATGTATGTACTTAGTTTTACACAATAGGCATCCTCTCGACTGCACACAATTTCATAGATACATATGGAAATACATACATATTTACACAAACAAAGTCATTGATGGAACAGTAAACGCAACAACAGGTACACGCAACAATTTCTCCACGATTTTGCCCTGCAAGCCAACGCCAACCAGTAAAAAATGCTGTAGTGCCATTATTGCGCGAATGGTTTTGAACTTTATTGTACGGAAAATGAAATTGCAAATGTGTGTACATGTGCATATATGTATGTATATATGTATTTCAGTTGATATTGGGGACAAAAAAATTCGTTAGATATGTTCAATATCTGATGGCGTTAGTCAAATGGTGGCACACCCTGCAACTATCAGCATCGAAATGAAAGCTAAATGCACTTGAAAAAATAGTATAGCCAGGATTGCATTAACTCAATCTGCGTTTATAGTAACGTAGATCGGGAATGATTAATCTATTTATGTTCATCGCGACCCAAATATTTTAGTACGAACTTTAGAAAAAAATATGTATGTCTGTGTAGTTTTGTTGAGGTGCTCGCTTTCAAAATCCACTACTAATTGGCAAACAAGCAAAAAATATGCGTGACTCCACAAAGTCGACTGGACCAAACACTGAAAAAAAATATATATATTTGTCGGTCTTCATAAAAATATATGTCAGCCAATTGAAATAAATACATATGACCTCCAAGCCCGTAAAACTCTTTAAGGCGAGAAAAAGTATCTCAAACCTCACTTGGTGCATTGGCAATATATGTTCAATAGCTGTCTTTCTTATACTATCATAAACTGATGGAAATCACTGGATAAGCTGCTCACTAATTATAAATTCACTAACGCTCAAAGGACGGGCTAGTGACAAATCACGGCAGCGTTATCCTCCACGCCTAGAAAAAGTACTTGAAACCTCGCTAAATTTTGTTTCTTTTTGTTTAACTTAAGGTGACTTAAATTGATTTAGAACTAAGAGAAATACGCTGCACCGAAAATCTCAAGTTTCGAAACTATACAAAAAACACCGTCGTAGATTATGGACATGTTTACCGTTTCTCCAGATTAGGCCATTTTCTCAAGATATTTATAAGAAAGAAATTCAAACTCTAACAAAGAAAAGATCAAAACAAAAGTCTTTTGTAATTTTTCGGATTTTTATTAAAGCCTGTTCTTTTGCTACTAACGACAAAAATCGATGGTGAATGGTCAATTTAAAATGTGCAATAATTTTTTGTATGAAATAGGAGCAGGAATTAATGTTACTCATACGCCATATCGTACATGGCCGTATTCATGCATACTAGGGATGTTTCGAATGTCATATTTGTGAATCGGAATGCGAATGCGATTGTTAAGAATGACATAAACATTTCTGTGCTAGAATTACAATTCTTGATAAATAATAAATAATAAAAAATTTACAAATTATACATTTTTTTATTTATCACAAGTACACATAATCGGGCTGTTAGAGCCACTTCAACAATGTTAGAGTGGACTCTCTGCCCATGTACACATTGGCATTCGCAAAACATTCGTATCATTTGATGCGAATGCGAATGTCGAATGCGAATACGTAAGATGATGCGAATCATTCGCATAACGAATGCGAATGCAAATGTTCGCCACATCCCTGATACATATTGGTAATGGTTTATGATAAAAATTTCTCATGTTAAAGTTTAAATTTTTTCGTCATTTGGAATGCAAGCCTGAAATGAAGATATCTTGAGAAAATTATCCGATCTTGGAAAAAAAGTGTATATACACACATAGTTCCATTATCTACGACCCAAAATTAAGTTTACGTGTCCCTACAGTGCACTATGGTCTGGCGACTACTATTTGCTGGCCAAAAGCTGAGAAGTAACCAAATTGATTTGGTGTCTTTGGGGGTTTTGGAAGTCGCTGATTTAGAATCCGATATTAGATTTTTGAAATTGAAAATGGGGGAACCCAATATGCTTTATAAAAAAGAGTGCCATTTTGAAATAAGAGTAATTTTAATCTCTAGAAAATAATTTATAATTTTAATTTGTACTTTAAACGACGATATGATTCTAAACTAAACCTAACAGTGACAACATCCGATGAGGCGGCCCTTGGAGTAATCGAGATGAAAATTTTACGTAAGATTTTGACAATAGCAAATATCGCAGACGACTTAACTATGAGCTGTAGGAGCTTTATAACGATATAGACATAGTGCAGCGAATTAAAATCCGGCGGCTACGCTGGGTAGGTAATGCCGCTCAAATGGACAGCAACGCTACAGCTCTGAAAGTATTCAACGCGGCACAGTGGTTCGGATAGCAGATCTAGCTGGACGAAAGTCAAAATTTTTTTTGTTTTTAAAATACCTAATGGTACTTGGAATACATTCAAATAGAAATTGCATTTATTAAAGCATTAACATATGAAAACAAACAAAAAAAGGTAAGTCATCGCCGCCTATTTGAGAACTCTATTTTAAAAGCTGAAATTTAACTTAAAAGATTGCTAATTGCACTCACAGATATTTGCATAATTGCAAATTGACTTTATAAACAAAAAATTACATTAATTTCGCTATAGATTCAGAGGTCATAACGTAATTTATGTCCACATTGGTATAAGCAAATTTATTCTGAAAAATCGTCGTTTTGATTAATTAAAAAAAATAAATTAAAGAGTAGGAAAAGTAAAGGCCGCCGAAGGCCGTTATAAAACCACTTGCATATTATTCTTTACATCTTCGCAAATGCAGAGGGTAAGTTCGACAACCAAGTCTAACCAATTGGCTTAGATATTTACATTTTAGTGACGGTATGTCAAATCTCAAAATTCAAAAGTAATTATTAACAGGAATGTATCTGAATATAAATATAAGATCAGTGGTGGATCCACGGGAGAGAGGGGGGTAGGGGTTGTATGTTAAAACAGAAAAATACTTGGAGTTATAAAAACTTTGGTTATGTTAGAGTTAAAAAAAAAAATAGTAACTCGCGAATTTTCTCCTTTCTGAAATTAAAAAATTACACAACAGGCATGCAAATCTTTAAGCGCTGTTATACAATTTTTTCTGAAATTTATTTGTGTTTCTTGCTGTGATCTTAAATTTCATGGTAAATAAAATCTTAAGAAGTGAGTTGTTTGACATTTGGAGAAGTGTTGCTGAAACTTCTAAAAGACAACAAGGTTTCCGTGATTATGTGATTAGTAAATTGAAAGAAATATCTGATGAAAATGCTCGTTTCGAAGTAAATAAAGTAAATTAAGTAAATGACTTTAGATTCGTAATCAGCAACCCAGAAAACCCCCAGAAACCCAGTTACATAGAAATCTACCGATTTTTTTTTAATTTTCGTCCGCCATATTGGATCCGGCATTTTGAATTTTTGGTAAATGACTTTAGATATGTAATCAGCGACCCAGAAAACCCCCAGATACCCAGTTTCACAGAAATCTACCGATTTTTTTTTTTTTTTCGTCCGCCATATTGGATCCGGCATTTTGAATTTTTGATAAGTGACTTCAGATTCGTAAGGTAAGAAGTGGTGTAAAGATCCATCAACGAGTATTTGTTTAAATAGTTTCGTCCAGCTAGATTTGTGATCCGAACCACAGTGCGCGGATGCCGATGCTTTTAACAGAGAGAAAGAGGGAGGCATCCTCTGCATTGGAAACACCAGGTGGAGCAGGACTTGGATTCACTTGGATTTTGCAATTGGCGTCAGTTGGCATAGAAGAGAAAGGACTGGCATGCTTTTTTAGACTCGGCCAAAGTCGCTTTAGAGGTTACAGGTTGCTTTTGAAAAAAAAAAAACTAAGAATAATTTCTAGCAAATCCTAGTTTTGCAACTTTCACGTTAACTACCCGTTTCGTTAAATGAATGAAAATTAACGCACAGTCGAACTGGCAAATCATCAGTAAAAAAATGCCAACTTTCATTGTGTCTTTAAAAACTCATGAAATATTTACACTATAGTACTATCTCACTCCGTTGCTCGCGTTAATTTAATTAAAATAATATATTCAAGTAAACATCGTTTAAACAACACTCTTTAATATTTTTTTAATCCGCCATATCTTTTTACGTACATATCACATACGCGCTCACACACACAGCACAGAGGATGTGCATTTTTCAAGCTCATCTTCCTCTCCGACACTTAATATGTTGGGAATGAAATAAAAGCGCGTGCAATAAATCGCGGTCACCTGCTGGCTTTATGGCTGCGTTTGTGCGCGCATAAAAAACATATATGATTACTGCAGCCAAAAACAAAGAATGCACGAACAGCACACAACACATACACTCGCCACCCTGCAGCAAAGCAAACTTATTCTGAACTCGCGCCGAGCTAGCTTGAACCGAGACGATACTGGTTCTTCATTTCTCTCAAATCAAATATTTATATTGTCATTTTTATGTTAGCGAAGTCCTAGCAGGTCACAGTTGATCTCCTCTGTAGAATTTTTGAACTCGTTCTGAACTGTATACCTCTGGGACAGATTTGGGATAGAAATTTTTCTGTGAGAAAAAACACATTCCGATGGCTGAGTGGAAGATGGACCTATCTCGCCAACCAGTTCGAAAACGACCAATTTCAGAAAACTTTTCTAGAATGCCCTACTTCAGAATTTGAAAGCCCTATTCAGAAGTTTACAGAAATTTTATCTCAAATGAAAATACATTAAAAATGTGCTGAAATGGGGCGTTTAGGAATCGGCAGTTGAGATAGGGCATTTTTTAACCAAATTCTTAGATAGGGCGTTTTTCAATCAAATTCTAAAATAGAGCGTTGTTGAAAAATTTTCTAAGATGGGGCATTTCGATAGGTCAATCTTCCACTCAGCCATCGATATGCGAACTTGACAGCCTGCGTAGCCTAACTGACATTGCACACAAAATTGAAGCACAGCTTAAAATAATAGCCCGAGTCACGCCCTTTTAGTTTGCTTTTACTTTAATTGGCAGCATTACAAGCAAGTGCAACAAATTGTTCAGTAAAGGGCCGTGTTTGCTATTTAAAGACCCTTCTTTTACATATTACTCACAAAAAATATGTGTAGGTAGGCTCCGCCGGCTCATATTTAATTTCATTTCGTTTTCATCAAATTACTTATTTCTTAAATTTCCAAGCACTGTGCAACAATTTAAATTTACCAACAACAATGTTTAAGGATGCACTACCAAAACGCTATTTTCAACCTACTCCTTTTGCATCCGTCTTGCAATAGTTTCTAGGCGGTTCTGCGCAATTTGTAGTGTGGAACTAATGCTTTGCCAGAATGTTTTTAAATTTTGCTGCAGGGTAGTAAACATACAGATTTATATAACCTTTTTATACACATGTGCACATTTTTATGACTTAAAAAATATATAAATACATATACGTTTGGTACATATATATGTATGTTTGTATACTCACTTGTGGGATCGTGGATCCAGCGCTTGCGTTCGCCGTTGATGCTCTTCGATTGTACTTGCGAGTTTTTATTTATCTGTAAGAAACAGGCAAAAAGGAGGAAAATTAAAACGTATGTATGTAAAGTGCATACATACATATGTACGTAATGATAAAATTTCAATTACACATGTGTACTCGAGTGATTTAACGCACGCGAGCAAAGAAAAACCTTAATGATAAAAATATGGTTGAAAGTGTAAAACGTCGATAAATTTGTGGTACCTTGATCTTAAATTAAATATGGCGAAAAACTTGATTACATTCTCAATGGCAGCTGAGTTATTTATTATAGATATTGAAATGATGCTAAAAATGGTAAGAAGTTCTAAGAATCTCCCCTCTCTACCATAATTCTAGGTGCCGCATGCTGCGTTAAATTTTCCCATAGAATTAACGCGTTAGAAAATAAGATCTGCTATTTTGAGGTCATCCCCATCTTCATCTTCATCTTCATCTTCATCTTCATCTTCATCTTCATCT